TCTTTTATACATTTGTTTTGGAGAGGTCCAAAACGATATTGGTAGTGGAAAGATGTGAATATGAAAATATGATACATTCTGTATATGATACTGCCTTGATTCCAAACCCCATCTTATGTCTCCTTGGGTATATAAATTCTAAAAATGTGGAATATGATCTGGCAATGGCCATTGCAAGATTGCTTGTAAGCTAATAGTTTCTTGTTGAATTTTGCTCAATCCTCCTACCCTTGGGGACAGGATGCAGGAAATGCATAAATATGAATTGTTTGAAAAAACGGAAAAATTCCTATCAAATACTTACCATAATTTTCCTTTCCTGATGGACTTCATGGCAGCATACATATGGGTTAGTCCCACCCTCTCTTCTCCTATAGGACCCCACTCCCACAAATATTTGTGCCTCGCCAGAGGCCATGTTCCATAACTAGCCTTCTCCTTGCATAGGGAGGATACTCTTACTACCATGGTGTAGATCAGGAAAGGAAAATTACGGTAAGTGTTTGATAGGACATTTTACTTTTTCCTGACAGACTCCATGACAGCATACGTATGGGAAATAACTTGCCATACACACACCAGTGGGCAGTTACTGAAATGAAGACTTTAATTTGCACCGTCAACCGACAGGACTTTCAAACCAAAATTAACAGAGGATAAGGTGGCAGGCTCTTCACAGTAATGAGCCATAAAAGTGTTGATTGAGGACAATGAGGCCGCTCTGCAGATCATCTCGGGGCGACATGCCGGGACATAGCCACACTTCTGGATGAGTGTGCGGTCACCACCTCCAAGCCCTTAGCTCTGTAGGCCATTTGGATGGCCTGGATTATCCAGGCCGTGATTGTCCTGGGAGATGCCCAGTCTCCTTTACTCTTCCCATGGAAAAGGATGAATACACAGTCTGATGTGCGGAAGGATGCTGTGAACTGCAAGTATAGCCTTAAGGTCTCACCTACGTCCAAGGGGTGAGTGCCATTGACTTCTGAGGCTCTAAATGTTGAAAGGACAATCTCTTGGTTATTCTGGAAGACCAAGGTCACTTTAGGATTAGAACATAGCATAGGGATGAGGACCACTCGATCTGGGAAGAAAGTAAAAAATGTCTCTTTACAGCCAAGGTTTCCAATTTCGAAGACTCTTTTTGCTGATGTAACTGCCACCAGAAAAGCTGCCTAGATGGAGAGCTCCCTGACTATGGAAGGCCCAGCTGATTCTGGCACACCTCCAGAGAAGAAGTCGAGGACAAGCGGCAGGTCCCATTTTGAGAACCTCGGTTTCCTTTGGGACCTCAACATTCCTGCCCCTTTGAAGAATTGCCTAACCAGAGAGTGGTCAGGCCATGATACTCCAGTGAAGGCCGAGATGGCTGACACTTGAACCCTGAGGGTGCTGACCAACAGGGGCAGGTCCAGGCCTGACTTCAGGAATCCCAGGACATCCTGAACCCTCGGTTTACCAGAGGATCCACCAATGGTCGAGATATAGTCTACGAACTTAGACCAGACTTTTCCATAGACCCTGTTGGTACTTGGTCTTCTGGCATTCAACAGGGTAGGAATGACTTCAGCAGGACACCCTAAGGCCTCCAACCTCCCCCTCTTAAGAACCAGACCATTAGATAAAGCTGAGCAAGGGTTAAGAATGACCCCCTGTCACAGCAGGTCTGGCCTGAGAGGGAGAGGAACTGGATCTCGAAAGCTGAGCTGTGCCAGTAAAGGAAACCATGGTCTGTTCGGCCAGTATGGGATTACTGCCACTACCTCCAGCACTTCTGCTCTGAGCCTCCGAAGAAACCCAAAGATGACAGGGAATGGGGGTATTGCACTGGCTTTGAGAAACCCCCACTGATCCGTCAGAGTATCTACTCCAAAAGCCTAGTGTAGAAAATCCCCAGTTTGCTGTTGCACAGGGAGCCAAACAGGTTGACTTCAGGACTGATCCCAAGGGTCAGTATCCACTTGAAAACTTCTGTGTTGAGAGACCACTCTTTGTTGTCCAATTGGCCCCTGGAAGCAAAGCCTGCTTGCTAGTTCTGGACTCCGGGGATGTATACTGCTGATATGTTGGACAGGGTTCTCTGAGCCCAAGCCATGATGGGCTCTACCTCTCACAAGCAGGACAGGCTGTGGGTCCCTCCTTGTCTCCTTATGTAGAACACTGCTGTCGTATTGTCAGACTTCAGGAGGACTGAGGACATGAGGACACCCTGTGTTAGGTGCTGGAAGGCCTGTAGGGCACAGAGCGCCACTCACAATTCCAGGATGTTCAACCTCAACCTGTGAGAGGGAAAGCTCCATCTGCCCTGAGCTATCTCTGACTGGCAGAGAGCACCCCATCTGCAGTTGCTGGCATCCGCAGTGATTGTGACCCAGGAGATGGGGGCAATCGAATGGCAATTGAGCAGGTTCTTCCGCTGCAGCCACCAAGGAAGGCTCTCCTTCATGGAGGGAGATATGTACATGACCCGGCCCATGCTGCCTGGAATCCACTGTTGAAGAAATCCCTTCTAGAAGGGTCACATTCTCCACTGTGTCCACTTCACCATCAGCACTGTGGACATCATGGTGCCAATGATCTTCAGGCATTGGAGTGCCCGTAGATGAAGACAGGGCAGGTAGTATTCGGCTCCGGATCACCGGAATCTTCTCCATGGGCAGGAAGATGGTGGCACTGAACGTGTCAAAATGAGCCCCAAGGAATATTATAGACTGCATGGGCTCCAACTGGCTCTTCTCCAAATTCAGCAACCACCCGAACTCGAGAAGGGTCGAGATGACGTGGACCCTGCGCTGAAGTAGCTGTAACCTGTCCTGGTATAGTAGAAGCAGGTTATCTAGGTAGTGGTGCAGGCGAATGCCTCTGGTTCTGATCTGGGCCACGACCACCAACAATACTTTTGAAAACACCCAAGGAGATGTCGAAAGCCCAAAGGGGAGACACATGAAACTGTAGATGCCGATGGTCCACAGCGAACCGGAGGAAAATCTCTGAAAATCTCTTGCAATGGGCACACGAAAGTAGGTGACCTTCAGATCTATAGACAGGAGCCAGTCGCCTGGCTGAATTTCTAGCTGAATTGTGAACAGCATCTTGAATTTTGACTTCTGGATAAATTAATTTAGATGGGTGAGATCTATGACCGGTCTCCAGGCCCCGTTTCTTTTCTGGAACAAAAAGAGGGGTGAGCCCTGAAATTCTTTGCCCTACGGAGCTGGCACTATAGCACTCTGCCCCAGAAGAGAGTCCATGTAGGACAGCAGGACTTCCCTCCTTTCTTCAGAATGTGCAAGGGCCATATGAGTGAACCTGAGATGAGCAGGGCTCTTGAATGCCCAAGCATGCCCTAAAGATAGCCATATTGCTGTACTGCACACGCGCAAAGCCAAGCCTCATTACAAAGCAACTCGCGCATGTGCAGTACTCTGGAGACTGTTTCAGACCCAGAAACAGCGGCCTGGAGTGCAGCATTGTGCTCCAGACACCCACTAGCACTAGGGAAAGAAAAATAAAGACAAAAAGGAGCACAAAATGAGACCTGAACATGGGCAAGGGCACTGCTTACCAACCTTACTGCCCATTTCCACCACGCTTTTAGCTGGGGAACATTGGAATTGATGAGGGGATGCCTGCTCTGCCATTCCATGCACCGCAGCCATCCGCCATGTCCAATACCCCTCACTTTAGCTGGGGACTCATGGAGCTGACAAGCGGTGAGTCACCTCGCACCTCCTGGAGAGGCTCACCAGGCCTTGGTCACAGACCATCTTGTATGCGGAACCAGGTAAGACTTGCACAAGGTCCATAGAAGGAGGACAAAAAAGGAACACGGCCTCTGGCGAGGAGCAAAAATTTATGGGGGTGGGGTCCGATAGGAGAAGAGAGCGCGGGAATAACCCATACATATTCTGCCATTGGAGTCTGTCAAGAAATACATGTATGCTCCATGTAATGCCTCTCGGAAGTTTGAAAAAATATGGAAAAAATAGATAGATACATCACATTGCAATTTAAACTTATAACAAGAAGCGGGAATGCCTACACCCTTCCTTTTCTTTTTTTCTGGTGTACAGTTTCTTTTTTTTTTTTTCTTTTTTCATGAATGGGGTGGGCTGTCTTAGAGAAAAACTCTTTATATATTGCTAATACTGGTTGCTCTGGAATATTTTTGAATTCTTGAATTTCTATGAAAACCTTTTAAATATTTTTGGAAAGTTAGATGATAATGAATCAAATGTACTGCCGATATTATTGTTGATGTTATTGTATTATTTGTTAAATTTATATTATTATAATTTTTTTCTTTATTTCTTTCTGGTTTGATGTTTAAATTTATGTTTTGTTCTCTTTCTTTTTTTCTACATACTTGTTATGAAAACTTTAAAATAAAATCTGAAAAAAACCCACCAAAAAAAAACCCAAAAACTCATTTAGATTTTTGGTTCGGGGCAAAGTTGAGCTTCATTTTGGCACCCCCATTAAGTTGCAAAGGCAACAGACAGGGGTGTTTATATATTGCAGTTGTAATGCTTTGCCTCCCACCTGTGGCAAAAACTTTCACTGCTGTGCTGTGGTTCATTGGTGCATCAATTAGAGAGTTTTAACCACTAGCCTACAGGGCACTTATACCCCCTTCCTGCCCAGGCCAATTTCCAGCTTTCAGCGCTGTCACACTTTGAATGAAAATTGCGTGGTCATGCAACACTATATCCATATGAAATTTTTATAATTTTTTTTGTGACAGATAGAGCATTATTTTGGTGGTATTTAATCACCTCTGGGTTTTTTATTTTACTTAAACAAACCAAAAACCACTGAAAATTTTGGGGAAAAAAAACATTTTTTCTTAGTTTTTGTTATAAAATTTTCTAAATGAGTGATTTTTCTCCTTCACTGATGTGCGCTAATGAGGATGTAGTGATGGGCAATGATAGGCTGCACTGATGGACACTGATAGGTGGTACTGATGGGCACTGATAAGCAGGCACTGGTAGGTGGCACTGATGGGCATTGACAGGCATCACTGATGGGCACTGAAAGGCAGCATTCATATATGGCACTGATAGGTGGCACTGATAGGTGGCACTGACTGGTACTGATAGGCAGCACTGACTGGCACTGTTAGGTGGCACTGACTGGCACTGATAGGTGGCACTGACTGGCAGCACTGATAGGTGGCACTGACTAGCACTGATGGGTGACACTGAAAGACAGCTCAGATGGGCACTGATATGTGGCATTGATGTGCACTGGTAAGCACTAAAATGTGGCACTGATGGGCACTGGCAGGTGGCATGGATGAGCACTGACAGCTGGCACTGATGAACACTGACAGGTGGCACTGCTGGGACTACACAGATCATCAGGGCACACTGATTCAAGGAATGCCAATTACTGGCTCTCTTCTCCTCACAAGCTGTCAGCGTGACAGTTTGTGAGGAGAGAAATGCCGATAACCGGCATTTCCCTGTTTACATGTGATCAGCTGTGATTGGACACAGCTGATCACATGACTGAGCCGACATCTTCGGCTCTTTCCGTTATTCGGTGATCCGCTGTGTCCAAGGGACACAGCGCACCTCCGATTGCCACGCTGCGCGCTCCCATGAGCCACGCATGCACGGTTAGAATGGGAGGACGTCATATGATGTCCTCCCAGAAAGAGAACCGCCTTGCGCCCGTCATTGTACTATATGGCGGGCGGGAGGCGGTTAACAGGGCATGAGAAGGCATTGCATCACCTCCTCTCTGCATGTTAAAAGCCTCTGAAATTAAAACTGAAAGTTGTTCCATTTTTAGAGGCTTGACAGTTTAGATGCAAATCTAATCTTACCCTAAATAAGTGTATAAAAGTACAGGGTGCCCCTAAAGTCTGGAGAGAGGCGAAATGCAGATTTTCAATAACTTTTCAACAATATTTTATGTAATTGGAATATTAATCAATAACACATTCAATGTGATCTCCACCATTTGTGATGCAAGGTTCCATGTACCTTGCAAGATTCACATGAACCCAAAGCAGTAACTCCACATTTCTGTCAATTTGAGCACATTCGTTCATGATGCATTCCTTCAGGTGATTTATATCTGTGATTTTTATTGAGTACACCTTCTCCTCAAGTTTAAAGTGTTACTAAACCTAGGACCCTGCATTTACTATATCTGGTCTCCCACAGTACACAGAACATGGAAGTGCAATTATTTTAGTAAATATAAAATGCTAAATACCTTTTCTCACCAGCAGTTAGAACAATTTTGTGACTTCTATCAGTGTCCAGCCGAGCACTGGTTAAAGCTTGTAGGAGGAGTTTAATTTTGCTCTAGGGGAATCCAGAACCCCTGATCTCTGTCTGGAGATTGGCTCTGTGCTGATCACATGCACTCTCCCAAGAAAAAAAAGCTCCCTAGCAATACACAAACTGAGCATATGCAGAGTGTCTCCAAACAATATGTATTGTCAAGAGATAAGATGGGGACACTGAAAGAAGGGGAGGATCAGAGAATTCAGGATAAAGCAGTGCTTTTACACAATGCAGAGGATTAACCCCTTAGGTTCCACATTGAGTATACCAATCATTCTTTACTGCATATACAGACTGATTTTACTGTTGTGGGTTTAGTAACATTTTAAGGTCTAGTGAGCTTATATAGTGATATATTATATATATATATATATATATATATATATATATATATATATATATATATATATATATATATATACATATATAGTGATATTTCCTATGTGTCCAGACTTTGGGGGCACCCTGTATTCATGTGACACAAAATGTAGCTTATCTCTGAAGGAATGCAGGAAAAAAGTCTTAACAAGGCAATGAAGAAAATGGAATTCATTACTGATTCAATAAGCCTATGGATAGCTACAAGTTTTATAAATCATTACCTTAATTTACTACATGAACAATGAAAGTTGGAACACCATTTAATTTAAAGTGTGTGGTTTATTGCATTCATTTACATGTATGTCACCATTCACTTAGTTTGTACTGGGTGACAATGAGATCAATGATATTATAATATATTGACATGTGCATAAATTCACAGCTATAGTTGACACTAAGTAAGGATCACTGATTAAGCTTACATATGTATTTCAACAATGTCAGTAAGACAGATGCTACAAATCTAAGCATTTTACTGACAGATATATTATATTTTATTATTGGAATCTAATTGTGCTCAACAGAATATCATTTCTTTACAGTAATGATCATGTTGGAAAGAATTTAAAGGGTATTGCGATTAGGAAAGTAAATATTGAATAGCATGTATCAATATGTTTTTCTCTGTTGAAGATTTCAGTATAAGATTTTTCAGGCATTATAAGATTCTAGTATTGAGCTCCTATTAGAAAATATTCATAATACTATTATAAATTCGAGAGGCCCAGTAGATCTGAGTAAGAAATAAGAAAATTTGTTAAAGCCCTCTAGATACAAATTTGTCTGATACATCCCCATGTCTAGTTCTTGAGTGTGTTTTGGACTTATGGTGTTATTGCGTTTTTAAATCTAAGAATACATATAGGATACTAAATAATTTTTAATTTGCAAAGTGAAGGTTATCATTTGCCATGATCTGCTAAACTCTACACTAGTGCTCAATGTATACATTGTATACATTGAAAACTAAGGAGAGTGTATTAAGAAAAAAAAAATATGACACTAAGAAATGTAATGCAAATTGTCAATGTCAAACAAAGGAAAAGTTCTACAAGAGCAGTACAACCTAGTAAAACATATAAGGGTATTTGTCATTGATGCCTCTATTCATAAGCAACAGCATATAAAATTGTGTACCCACATGTTTGCTCATTACTACTATATTACCTGCATCCACAATATTGTGTGCCTCATGCAGCATGGCCTATGGAATTTTGTAGCTTTTTTTTAAGCATCTTTAGTCATTTGCATATACAATTATTCTTGGATGGCATATACATTCAACAGATGTCAAACAGACCACAAAAAATATAATTTCCCTTTTAGGTACTTCAGCATTGTGGAACATTTTGATGTTGGAGCCTAGTATGTTTGTTAGTACATTTATGTAAATACACTAAAACTCATCCACACACATTGTGGGTAGATAGTAAGTACTGTGAAAATATTGTTGGGTTGTTCAACTTGCTCCATTGATGAGAAATTACATATTTTCTGTTACTGCTATCTGTGCTAATGCATATAATTTCTGCAGGTACCTTAAGTGGCTCAAGTCACTCGGATCAGTCATCACTGAAAGGGTTTACAAAAAGAGTATGCTTCCTGCTATACTGCTTTGGAGCATAATGTAATCATTGTCTTCTTTGCTTTTAAAAGGCAGTTGAGCAATTGCAAGGTGGAATTCTATTGTGAGGGAATATAACATAAAATTGTGAAAGGAAATGCTGTGCTGTGTTTGGAAGGCAACGCTAATTTCTCATATTGGCTCAGCAAGACTCTGCTTGACATACCCAGCACCTTTTACAACCTTGAATAGATTTTTTAGAAATTTCTATACCATTAAATTTCTAAAGTGAGTCAATTAGAGAGAGGGTTTTAATTTCTCAAACTGCTTTACCAAGGAAAATGTCTTTCTGTAGTCACTGTACATATGAAGAACGTCTCCCAAAGTATTGGTGTTTATGATGGGTAACAGAATCTATAGAAACCCATTAGGTCACAGATTAAAGGATCTCTTTGCCCATTGCCCTGTCTTAAAATTAATTAAAAACACACATTTTATTATTGCATATTTAACTAAATTACAATCTCAATTACAATCTCACTTCCTCCTCTCCTCTTCCTTTCTCTGTTGGGGTCCCCCAAGGTTCTGTTGTTGGACCTCCCCTATTCTCAATCTACACCTCTTCCCTTGGTCAGTTGATAGCCTCCAAATGGTTTCTAATACCATTTCCACACTGGTGACACCCAAATCTATCTGTCATGATTAAAGGCACACCTATCAACTCATCTCCGCATGCCAAGGTGCTAGGTGTTATCCTGGACTCTGAACAATCCTTTTCAATGTTTTTTATTAATTTTTAAACAGTTTAAGACAGGAGAAAAGAAATCATGTCCATGCAGGGGCTATCAATTGCACATTAAAAAAAATAGAAAAAACAGTGCTCTAACACCAACAGAGTAAAAGGTGCACCCACGCAGGGGCTATCAGTGGCACATAAATGACAAAAACATTAGTATACCACTGACAGTAACTCAAACTAAAGGCAGCAATTCACTGCCACATCAAAATCAAACAAAAAAAGAACAAGAAGGAGGAGTACAAAATAAAAAAAGATAAGAAAATCAAGAGCAGAGGTTCAAGAACGCCAATACCGTACAACATCACATCCTCAGACTAGCCGGGGGGGGGGAGCGTGGGAAAGGCATATTGCAACCAGGGCTCCCATATTTTCAAGAATTTATGTTGGGAGTCGTTGCAGATACTCGACATCTGTTCTTCTGAACTATCCTTTTGAGCCCACATCTAAAATCACTGTCCAAAGCTTGTCACCTCAACCTACACATCTCCAAAATACACCCCTCCCTAACCAATGACACCGCAAAGCTTCTAATTCTCTCCCTGGTCATCTCTCCCCTTGACTACTGCAACGCTTTCCTGATTGGATTACCTTTATATAGGCTATCCCTCTTCAGTTCATCATGAATGCTGCTACCAGACTCATCCACTTTACCAACTCCTCTCTGACAATCCCTCCACTGGCTTCTGCTTTTCCAACAATCTTAATTCAAAATACTAGCAACAACTTACAACACCATCCAAAACTCATCTCCCAACTACCTCAGTCTCAAGCTAGCAATCAAATCATTATTTTCATTCCTCCCAAGACCTCATGCTCTGCAGCTCCCCTATCACTTCCTTTCATTATCGCCTCCAGGACTCTCTTCCATCCTATGGAATTCCCTACACTAATCTATTTGACTCTCCCCTACTCTATCTATATTTAGACAATCCCTGAAAACTCATCTCTTCAGACGAGCCTTGCCTGCCCCCACCTAATATCTGTACTTTATTTTCTCCATCAGGTCATCCCCCACAGTTATTAGCTTTTGTATCACTTGACCTTCCATCTTAGATTGTAATGAGAAGGGCCCCCTGTTTCCTACTGTATTAAATTGTATTGTAATAGTACTGTCTACGCTCACGTTGTAAAGATCTTCACAAACTATTGGTGCTATATAAATGCTGTATAATAATAAAATAAATCCAGCAATTAATTATTTTGAGGCTTGTCTTCTAGAGATTGGTCTGAAGTATAACCCCCATCTAAGCTATAAAACTGGGAGCATAGGTTCCCTTTCTCTTGGTAAATGAGAGGATCCTGGCCCAATAAAAGATTGCAAGAGGTTTAAGAGATTAGGTTACAAAAGAAAACTGCTAGAAACCATGAACACATTTATCTAAAATTATCAGTACAATAAGGGTAAAATCGCAAACATGATGGATAGATTTGCACATTAGTTAAAAGCCTGCAACAAGCCACATAAAAGAGAATTAAGCTGACCAACTGA